TCGAGGGAGGGGGAAGTGGTAGTTGTCGAGGGAGGAGGGGAAGTGGTAGTTGTCGAGGGAGCAGGAGGAAGTGATAGCTATCGAGGGAGAGGGACTAGTAGCTGTCTTGAGAGGGGATGGGTAGCTGTCGACGGGGAGTGGTGGCTGTGGGTGAAAGGTTAGTGATAGCTGTCGAGGGAGAATGGTAGCTGTTGAGGGAGGAGGGGGAGTGGTAGCTGTAGAGGGGGATTAGAAGCTGAGGGAGGAGGGGGAGTGGTAGCTGTAGAGGGGGATTAGAAGCAGAGGGAGGAGGGGGAGTGGTAGCTGTAGAGGGGATTAGAAGCTGAGGGAGGAGGGGAGTGGTAGCTGTAGAGGGGATTAGAAGCTGAGGGAGGAAAGGGAGTGGTAGCTGTTGAGGGAGGAGGGGGAGTGGTAGCTGTTGAGGGAGGAGGGTGGGTGGTAGCTGTAGAGGGGGATTAGTAGCTGGGGGAGGAGGGGGAGTGGTAGCTGTCGAGGGAGGGAGAGTGGTTGCTGTCGAGGGAGGGAGTGTGGTTGCTGTCGAGGGAGGAGGGAGAGTTGTTGCTGTCGAGGGAGGAAGAGTGGTTACTGTCGAGGGAGGAGGGGAGTGGTAGCTGTCGAGGAGGAGGGGTAGTAGCTGTCGAGGGAGGAGGAGGAGTGTAGCTGTCGAGGGAGGAGGGGGAGTGGTAGCTCTCGAGGGAGGAGGGTGAAGTGGTAGCTGTCGAGGGAGGAGGTGGAAGTGGTAGCTGTGTCGAGGAGGGAGGTGTGAGAGTAGGTAGCTGTCGAGGGAGGAGGTGGAAGTGGTAGCTGTCGAGGGAGGAGGTGGAAGTGGTAGCTGTCGAGGGAGGAGGTGGAAGTGGTAGCTGTCGAGGGAGGAGGGGAAGTGGTAGCTGTCGAGGGAGGAGGGGAAGTGGTAGCTGTCGGGGAGAGGGAAAGGGTGGAGGAAGGGGAAGTGGTAGCTGTCGAGGGAGGAGGGGGAAGTGGTAGCTGTCGAGAGAGGGAGGTAGGGGGGAAGGGAGTGGTAGCTGTCGAGGGAGGAGGGGAAGTGGTAGCTGTCGAGGGAGGAGGGGGAAGTGGTAGGCTGTACGGGAGGGGGAGCGTAGGGGGGAAGTGGTAGCTGTCGAGGGAGGAGGGGGAGTGGTAGATGTCGAGGGGGAGAGGGGAGTGGTAGATGTCGAGGAAGAGGGGGAGTGGTAGCTGTCAGAGGGGGTTAGTAGCTGTAGAGAGGGATGTAGAGCGAGGAGAGGGGGAGTGGTAGCTGTCAGGGAGGAGGAAGAGTGGTAGCTCGAGGGAGGAGGAAGAGTGGTAGCTGTCGAGGGAGGAGGGAGAGTGGTAGATGTCGAGAGAGGAGGGAGTGGTAGCTGTCGAGGGAGGAGGGGGAGTGGTAGTGTCGAGGGGGAGAGGGAGTGGTAGATGTCGAGGGAAGAGGGGGAGTGGTAGCTGTAAGAGGGGGATTAGTAGCTGAGGGAGGAGGGGGAGTGGTAGCTGTCGAGGGAGGAGGAAGAGTGGTAGCTGTCGAGGGAGGAGGAAGAGTGGTAGCTGTCGAGGGAGGAGGGGGAGTGTTAGCTGTCGTCGAGGGAGGAGGGGGAGTGGTAGTTGTCGAGGGAGGAGGGGGGAGTGGTAGCTGTCGAGGGGAGGAGGGGAGTGGTAGCTGTCGAGGGAGGAGGGGAGTGGTAGCTGTCGAGGGAGGAGGGGGAGTGGTAGCTGTCGAGGGAGGAGGGGAGTGGTAGCTGTCGAGGGAGGAGGGGGAGTGGTAGCTGTCGAGGAGGAGGGGAGTGGTAGCTGTCGAGGGAGGAGGGGAGTGGTAGCTGTCGAGGGAGGGGGGGAGTGGAAGCTGTCGAGGGAGGAGGGAGAGTGGAAGCTGTCAAGGGAGGAGGGAGAGTGGTAGCTGTCGAGGGAGGAGGGGAGAGTGGTTTGCTGTCGAGGGAGGGGGGAGAGTGTAGCTGTCGAGGGAGGAGGGAGAGTGGTAGCTGTCGAGAGGAGGGAGAGTGAGCTGTCGAGGGACGAGGGAGAGTGGTAGCTGTCGGGGACGAGGAGAGTGGTAGCTGTCGAGGGACGAGGGAGAGTGGTAGCTGTCGAGGGAGGAGGGAGAATGGTAGCTGTCGAGGGACGAGGGAGAGTGGTAGCTGTCGAGGTGGAAATTTGTAGGTGTCGAGGGAGGGGGGAGTGGTAGGTGTCGAGGGAGGAGGGAGAGTGGTAGCTGTCGAGGTGGATAAGTAGGTGTCGAGGGAGGGAGAGTGGTAGCTGTCGGGGGAGGAGGGAAGTGGTAGCTGTCGAGGGAGAGGGAGAGTGGTAGCTGTCGAGGGAGAGGGAGAGTGGTAGCTGTCGAGGGAGGAGGGAGAGTGGTAGCTGTCGAGGGAGGAGGGAGAGTGGTAGCTGTCGAGGGGAGGGAGAGTGGTAGCTGTCGAGGGAGGAGGGAGAGTGGTAGCTGTCGAGGGAGGAGGGAGAGTGGTAGCTGTCGAGGGAGGAGGGAGAGTGGTAGCTGTCGAGGGAGGAGGGAAGTGGTAGCTGTCGAGGGACCCAGGGAGAGTGGTAGCTGTCGAGGGACGAGGGAGAGTGGTAGCTGTCGAGGGACGAGGGAGAGTGGTAGCTGTCGAGGGAGGAGGGAGAATGGTAGCTGTCGAGGGACGAGGGAGAGTGGTAGCTGTCGAGGTGGATTAGTAGGTGTCGAGGGAGGTGGGGGAGTGGTAGGTGTCGAGGGAGGAGGGAGAGTGGTAGCTGTCGAGGGAGGAGGGAGAGTGGTAGCTGTCGAGGGAGGAGGGAAAGTGGTAGCTGTCGGGGGGGAGTGGTAGCTGTCGAGAGAGGATGGGGAGTGGTAGCTGTCGAGAGAGGGATGGGGGAGTGGTAGCTGTCAAGGGGATGGGAGAGTGGTAGCTGTCGAGAGAGGATGGGGGAGTGGTAGCTGTCGAGGGAGGAGGGAAAGTGGTAGCTGTCGAGGGGGAGTGGTAGCTGTCGAAGAGGATGGGGGAGTGGTAGCTGTCGAGAGAGGATGGGGGAGTGGTAGCTGTCAAGGGAGGATGGGGGAGTGGTAGCTAGTCAAGGGAGGATGGGGGAGTGGTAGCTGTCAAGGGAGGATGGGGGAGTGGTTAGCTGTCGAGGGAGGATGGGGGAGTGGTAGCTGTCGAGGGGGGGGGAGTGGTAGCTGTCGAGGGATGGATGGGGGAGTGGTAGCTGTCGAGCGAGGATGGGGAGTGGTAGCTGTCGATCGAGGATGGGGGAGTGGTAGCTGTCGATCGAGGATGGGGGAGTGGTAGCTGTCGACGGAGGATGGGGGAGTGGTAGCTGTCGAGAGAGGAGGGGAAGTGGTAGCTATCGAGAAGGATGGGGGGAGTGGTAGCTATCGAGGGAGGATGGGGGAGTGATAGCTGTCGAAAGGAGATAGGGGAGTGATAAACTGTCGAGGGAGGATGGGGGAGAGGTAGCTGTCGAGGGAGGTGGGGGAGTGGTAGCTGTCGAGGGTGGGATGGGGGGCCGGTAGCTGTCGAGGGAGGATGGGAGAGTGGTACTGTCGAGGGAAGAGGGAGAGATGGTAGCTGTCGAGGGAGGATGGTGGAGTGGTAGCAGTCGAGGGAGGAAGGGGGTGGGAGGGTAGCTGTCGGGTAGAGGAGGGGGAAGTGGTAGCAGTCGAGGGGGAAGTGGTAGCTGTTGAGGGGGAGTGGTAGCTGCCGGGAAGGATGGGGAGTGGAGCTGTGACAGCAGGACGAGTAGAAAGGTCGGTAGGATTAGGGTTAAGAGGATAGAAGGGAAGAGGGACGTGCGGTGAGAGAGGGAAAGGCAGAAGAACGTGGTTGGGGATGGTGGGGCCCTGGGAAGGGGTCAGATGGGAGGGGCTGGTGGGAGTGGTCCTGGGGGGGAAAGAGGCAGATCGCCTCGGAATGGAGTAGCAAGCATGTGCCGGAGCCACGAGTGTGAGAGAAATTGGAAACGGCCAAAGGTGTAGGGGTAAGGGGAGTGGAGAGGAGAGACGTGGATAGATTGAGAAGGTGGGTGATGAGATCGAGGAGTGGAAGAGTGTGAGGGAGTGTGTTGTTGGTTGGGGTGGGTAGGACCCAGGGGTGGTGAGATGAGCGTGGTAGGGCGGTTTAAGTCCTGGTGGATTGTCTAACCAGTTGATCTTGGGTGGGAAGATAGGGGAAGAGAGGAGGCTGAAGGGAGCAGCAGGACAAGGGTAGGAAGAATGGAGGGGAGGAGAACCAGGGAGGAGGGGAAGGAGAGAGGATGGGCTGGAGGGAGGGACGGGGAGGTATACTGTGGGAGCGCCGGGTTGGTAACGGTAGGAACAGCTGATCACAACAACTTGTCTCTCTCCTCACACCAAACAAACTACAACACTTCTCTCTGAGTTCAGTGTTAACTCTTCAAGTTGACAAGTATCATGTAGACGTCTTCAGATAGTTCAGAGGGATATAATTAATGGAGTCTATATGATCTCGTAAGAAATGTGCCCTTCATTCCCGCACTTGCCACGGATAATCAACTCAGGTTTCGTTGGTTTCTGGAGTACATTTGTAGCTGTATTGTGTACACAGTGCTGTTTGTAGTCACCATGGTGTACTTTACCTGCTACAGGTACCGCACCTGATCATCTCTCATCATATAACCTGCAAAAATAACTGGAGATAACTAAGGCGCATCCTTATCCCTTGGAGCCTTCTACACGCGCTACGTAACTGAACTTACCTGTTTATAATAATAAATATTTGGCCTATATACAGTATACTTTACAAACCTGGGCCTCCAATAGTTCCATTAACGTCGTTAGAATCAGTCTTTATAGCATAACTTTGGCGCAAATTAAAGAAAATCAATTGAAAGTCGCTGTGCTCTAGACGCAGACAGGAGACCATCCGCCATTTTCTTTTGTCAGAGGTCACGATAGAGAGGGAGCTGTTTTCATCAACAGATTTTCCTTCATACTTGCCCTGGAGTCCTTAAATTGTATGTTAAAACTCCTCATACATTGAAATTTCAATAGTAAAAATATGTGAAAAACGTGATCTTACCTGAGAGAGAAATAATCCAAAAGTTAAATCCCAAGCGTCAGAAATACACCCACCACTGCCAAGCTGGAGGAGCACACTGAAGCAGCAGCCGCTGTCTGCCGCGCTACACCCATACACGATGTTACACGCTCGTTTTTACTGCAAAACTTTATTTATCTTTATTTTACATAACCTGGGATGCGTTAAACCTCTATGATACGTTCATCATGGTTTATTTGGATGTAATGTATAATACATAAAACCGGTCAAAACATACTTGCAATATTAAGTTACTTTGTCATGTGAGTGAAGTTGATGTCAGTTGGCAGGATTTGCTCTACGGCTTATAAATGATTTCCTGTAAACTCCTCACACATATAAACAATATATGATGTTTTTAATAGCGTTAGCATCTATTAATAAGACTTATAGGTAAAGAGAGTGTAGTTGGTGAGTGTTTATGTTGACAAGAAGAAGCGAGGACGTCCTTTAAGCGGGGTCCACTGCCCCCCACCTACCAACCACCACCTACTAACTCACAACACTATACGCCAACTTTTTAACGCGAAATTTATATTATATAACCTTACAGCGTATTTCTTCAGAAATATAAAATTTTGTCAACATAACCTTTTTTCAGACAAAAACATTCGCTGAATATATAAATTATTTGCTGAGTAGATCAGCCCGACAATTGCTACGTCGTAGCCGTACAATTATGTACGATAATTAACTTTTTTACCTTGGGAAAACATTTTTCTGCTGTGAGGAATAATATAAGAACTTGTATAAACAAGTCAGAATTTGTACGATCAATATATATATGTTGTTATATAGGGTTTATAGCATAAAGTAAGTTAATAAGATATGGAGATATATTAGAGAGTGACGTTGGATGGCAGATATTGTTGAGTACCCCGTGTGAGGCTAGCAACACCGCTACCAACCCTCCCAGGCATTTAAAAACCACACGAACTTTTTATATTTATTATATTTGCTTTATTCTCGCAAAAGAATCCATACGGAGGTTTTCAAGTGAATAGTACTAAAATTTCTAAACATTTACGAAAAAGTTATGGAACAAAAACGTTTATGGCTTTAAATAATTTGTATATTTCGGGAGTGTTGGCTGCTCTCGGAATTAATTGAGAGTAAGGCAGAAAACTCAGTGAGTGAGCGAGTATAATAACAACAACGTTATCAATTGGATTTTACTTATTACCTCAACTGGTCACCGCTTAATACTTTGTGAGCCTCTTATAAAATAGGTAGAAAACCTGTTTAATGCTGAGTATATATTAGATGTGATTAGAATAATGATAATTAATTAAATTAAATAAGTGCTGGCATCTTGAAGAGCACGTTTTACTCGCTGACAAATATGTCACTAAAGTTGAGAATGAGTGAGGGTGAGGCGCGGGTGGTGGTGGTGGTGGGAGAGGACGGGGTGCGGCTGTTGTACGGGAAACAGAGGGGGGTAGGAGAGGTGGTGAGGCGCGGGTGGAGGACGAAGTAGGGGAGGGGAAGAGGATGAGGTATGGGTGGGAGGGAAAGGCACAGGTGGTTGTAGGAGAGAGAGAGCGGGAGGGGGAAGGCGGGGGTTGTGGAGGTAATGTGGGAGAGGGTGAAACGGGTGTTGTGAAGGGGAGTCGGGGGTTGGTCACTATGTAATATGTGTTTGTCGAAAATTGGTATAAAATACTGACAAGTTGAAGATACACATGTGCAACAGTTGGGTATCTTTTTTGTTGAAACGTTTCTCCTACGCAGTAGGATTCTTCAGTCAAATACTGAGGAAGCAGTAGAAATGAAATAAAGATGGTGTAATCAGTCTATCAATCTTGAAGAAAAAGTTTTCTAGGTGGTCAGTCTCTCATCCTGGAGAAGTATTGAGCTCCGTGGTCTGGAACCATATCGTTCCAGGGACTGACCACTTCAAATAATTTTTCTCCAAGGTTGATGGACTGGATTATTTCATTTCTACTGCTGCCTCTGTATTTGACTGAAGAAGCCTGCTGTATAGGCGAAACATTTCAACAATAAATATACCAATGGAAATATAAACACATATGCAGTATAATGTGATCCTTTATTGACTACGTTTCGCCCACACAGTGGGCTTTTTCAAGTCACAAACAGAATATACCAAACTGGTGCACATGTCTTAATCCTCACTATCTAATATAATTTAGCGGTAATTTTATTGTTTATGTACCACGCTGACAAGGTTGTTACCACAGCTGACTAATGTAAGTAAATGTTATGGTGGTAAGCGTTACTAGTAATAACGCATCACTTATGTTTGTTACAATGTACATATAACAACTTGGTAATGGGTGGGGGTTGCAGGTATGACCACTGATACATTAGGTGGGTGAAAGTGTGACCACCACTGATACACTAGGGGGTAGCAGGTGTGACCAGTGATACACTAGGTGAATGAAGGTGTGACCGCTGATACACTAGGTGGGGTAGCAGGTGTGACCGCTGATACACTAGGTGGGTGAAGGTGTGACCACTGATACACTAGGTGGGGGTAGCAGGTGTGACCAGTACTAATACACTAGGTGAGTGAAGTAGGTGTGACCGCCACTGATACACTAGGGGGCAGGTGTGACCATTGATACACTAGGTGGGGCAGTAGGTGTGACCACTACTGTTACACTGAGTGAAGCAAGTGTGACCACTGATACACTAGGTTGGGGCAGCAGGTGTGACCACACCAATGATACACTAGGTGGGGCATCGGGTGTGACCACACTGATACACTAGGTGGAGTAGAAATTACCACACAACTGATACACTAGGTGGGGGTAGATGTGACCACACCACCAGTACACTAGGTGGGGGTAGAAGTGACCACTGACACCCCACCTCTCCCTTATCCTCCTCACAAGGAACTGGACCTAACCTTCCCTGGCTTGAGTTTGATTGCCTCACATTCCCCCGGGCACTGCATGACCCCTGCCGGGTTAGCGCTCCTTCCATACCACCCCCTCCAAAGACTTTTTTTGTGAAGAGGAATTACAATAACTAAGATTATAAAACTTTTCCAGGCTCACCTTAGCTCAGTGGTAAGTGTTCGCTTTTCGACCGAATGGATCAAAGTAAGTCGAGACGTCTTAAGTCTCCTTTGCTGCCTGTGTTCAACTAGCAGTACATACCTGCTACTTGCACTAGTACATACCTGCTACTTGCACTAGTACATACCTGCTACTTGCACTAGTACATACCTGCTACTTGCACTAGTACATACCTGCTACTTGCACTAGTACATACCTGGTTATATTACAGACAGTAGTACATACCTGGTTATACTAGTACATACTTGGAGTATATTTGGAGAGGATTTCGGGGGTCAACGCCCCCCCAGCCCGGTCTGAGACCAGGCCTCGTGGTGGATCAGGGTCTGATCACCCAGTCTGTTACTGCTGGCCGCACGCAAACTGACGTACGAATAACAGCCGTCTGGTCGGGTACTGACTTTAGGTGCCTGTCCAGTGCCTTCTTGAAGACAGCCAGGGGTCTATTGGTAATCCTCCTTATGTATGCTGGAAGGCAGTTGAACAGTCTTGGGCCACTGACACTTGTGTTGTCTCTCAGTGTACTCGTGGCGCCCCTGCTTTTCATTGGGGGGAATGTTTCATATCCTGCAGTCTCTTTTGATTTCATAGGGAGTGATTTTCGTGTGTACAAGTTTGGTACTAATCCCTCTAGGATTTTCCAAGTGTATATTATCATGTATCTTTCTCGCATGCGTTCCAGGGAATACAAATCAAGGGACTTCAACCGTTCCCAGTAATTTAGGTGCTTTATCGTGTGCCGTGAAAGTTCTTTGTACACTTTCCAGGTCAGCCACTTCGCTTACCTTGAAGGGGGCAGTTAGTGTACAGCAGTATTCCAACCTAGAGAGAACAAGCGATCTGTAGAGAATCATCATGGGCTTTGCGTCCCTGGTTTTGAAGGTTCTCATTACCCATCCTATCATTATTCTAGTAGATGTGGTAGATACATTGTTGTGGTCTTTGAAGGTGAGATCCTCTGATATTATCACTCCCAGGTCCTTCACATTACTTTTTCGCTCTATTGTATGGTTACAATTTGTTGTGTGCCCTGATACAGTACCTGGTTGTTATACTAGTACATACCTGTTTGTTACACTAGTACATACCTGGGTGTTACTGCAGCACATACATGGGTGATACTTCTTTTAGCTAGATGTTTTGGGTCTGGTCCGAGGGAAGACCCACATTGTGTCATACCACTTTTGTTACCTGGGTTAAATATCCAGGGTTAAATAACCTGGTGAAGACCACACCAAACCTAGTCTTCAGGACCACTGCAGAACTGATAATCAAGACCACACGAAATCTGGTAGTCAAGATCACATGAGAACTTGGCATTAAGACCACACGAAATCCTGCTGACAAGACCACACCAGACCCCACTGAAAGGAATATATCAGACCCGGCGACAAGACCGTATCAGAACTGGTCACGACTACACTGGACCCGATCATCAGTACTACACACTGATGACTCGACGTGGGATTTTATGCAAGATTATTATGATGCTATGGATGAAGAGTGAGGAAGAAGAGTAAGATAAGGACAGAAGAGTGAATGAGGAAAGGAGTCATTGGTGCTCTGGTTGGTAAGATGTGTGGGATGTGATGTCGCAAGCTTATTTCAGCTTTTAAGGTGGTGGGTTTCTTGGATGGAAGAAGTGGAACACTCTGACAGCATCCTCTTGTTCAGCTGGGAGATAAGAGGAAGAGAAGGTTGAGAGAGCTCAGAGACTGGGAGGATTTGGTGGAAGTAGGAGGGCCTTTCTACTGGTGGAGAAGACACTCGGCATGGTTTGTGTGTCAAAAGTCAGAGATAAAGGATGAGAGAATTATTAAGGGAGAATTTTTTCGACTGGAGAGTTCATATATTTGTGGGTATGTTTATTTCTTAAGTGATTCATATACCTAGTTTTCTGGACAAAAGCAAGTGCTCGTTCTCCACATAATTATATGCCGTTAATATTCTAGCACCCAGAATTAAGTTTGTCTCCTCACCGCTGTACAGTACTAGTATTTTTTTTATTGTGGCTTGGAG